ACGTATGAGCTAACTCTAAGTCATTACTCCTTCACCTAGGAGAAACGTCTTGGGAACCTCCTGCTTTGGACTGGGCAAGTGGCTAGGCACGATCCAATCTACTCATGCATTCAGGACGACCCAAAAGCATTGGCCCAAACAACTTCGGCTAACAGAGGGAGCATTTCTCTTCTACCCGACGGCTGGGGACGCGTGGTCGAGTTACCCCAGGGACGACAATACTACGACTACCTGTGATCGCGTTTCTGATTGTAACAACGGCTAGTTACGGGCATCTTTGTCTATGACAACGGCTAGTTTCGAGAATCTCTTCCCAGGATCATGAGCACGAGCTGCTCATTCTTGCTTTCTCGCAGAAATTCTGACAGTTACCTATTTTTGGGCTTAATATCCATACCCAAAAATACGAACCAATGGCTAAGCGTCGGGGGTATTATATAAACCCTCACACTTGTGAGAGTCAGATATTCAATATTCAATTCTCAAACCCTATTTTCTCTCAAGTATCTCTTTGCACTCTTACTTACTTGAGCATCAGAGTGTCTTGTAGGTACACCCTCTCCTCCGTGATTTCAGTATTACAGAGACAGATATCGATCCATTATAGGTTTTGATCACCGATAAGATCAATTTTTGTTATAGTAAAATAATTTATATGCTATTTTGTATGGGGAATAACCACTACACTACCACTATTTTATATTTATTATGAAAATCTAATATATTTTTTTCAGATTTGTTTTATGTTTTCACATCTTATAATTTATATTTTGAATCATAGTTGTTCCCGACAATTTAGAGTTTCATGTGTCAATATAAAAAATAAGATATAGAAATAATATCATATTTTATAATTTTTTTGTTGTAAAATAATACATTTAAATATTAAGAGTGTAAGCACCAAAGATCGAGTCATTGATCTTTGAATAAAAAACAAACTTATTTACCATTACACTAACTAACTTACATATCATAATATATTAAACAACTAATATTTACATTAATTTCATATTTATAATTTATAAAAAATAATTTTAAAGTCCCTATTTTTTGGAGAGCCTGGACTGGGACTTGATAACCCGGGTTGATGGATAATATGGATGGTGAAATAATATATAAAAAACACTTTTTTGAATGTGCATATTTGAAAATACATTTTTTTATAAAATAGTAAGGTTTATTTGAATATACATCTCTAAAAAGATTCTTGATAATATGATAAAGTTTCTAAGGTCTAAAGTGATCCAAATCTTGTATAAATAGGGGACCTCTTATCCCATTTTCAACAAATTATCCAATATCAGAAAATGAATACATATCACCACCTTGCATTTGTGCATTTCAATTGTGAGATATTGTCACTTCAGTTTAGGGTTTGCGAGTATATAACTCACGTCAACCTGATATCCAAACTAAATATGCTCCTACGATATCTAAAAAATCGACGCGTCATCAAGATTGAATATCGTTCATCCTCATTTGACAACAACGGGAATATAAAGTTCACTAACTTCAAACTGAAGACGAATGCAGATTTAGAGGTTATAAGGAGTACTTTTCGCTGTTATGGAACAAAGAGTCCGATTGAAGTGGATGTAAAGGTTGCAAGATTCATCAACGATATTATCAACATGTTGCAACGTCTAGAACTACCCGTTTATAACAATGTGTAATGTTATTCCGATTATCAATTATCTATGTAATGTTGAGTGTTTTAATTTAATGTCAAATTGTTATAAATTTTCAAATTATCCATACTGTTTGTCTATGTTTACTATTTTTCATTTGAAGCATTAGAGATATTTTCGGATATACGTCTCCGAAACATATCAGACATAAATTTAAAAATGTATTTTTTAAACCAAATTTTATATAAAAAAAAATCATCTATAATATGTTCAAATATATATCTCTAAATTATCGAAATATTTTTAGATTTTCATTAAAAATTTATGAGAAGACACAAAAATGAAAAAAAGAAATTGCTTTACTTTACATGTAATAGTTCATTAACTTAAATGTGCAACTTCCTACTTAATATATTTTTTTAAGTTTGAAAAAATCATAGTCGAAGGAACAAACCTCTTTTCTTGACGTAAATTGCTTGAGTTATAAGTCGACTATTAAATTTTTGTTTTTACAATATCATTGTATAATACCTCCTCTCTTTCATAATGAATAATTTATTTGTAAAATAAAATGGTTCTAAAATAAATAATTATTTTCAATTTCTAATACAATATTAATTATTTTTCTTCAATTTTACACTCTAATTAATTTCACTTTCATTATTTTAAATACTTAATAGAAAATATTTTTTGTAAAACTATTATTTTTTCTTTTATTTAAAATTAACTATCAACTATCAATTATTTATTATTATTTATTTATTTATCTATCTAATAAAGGAAGATGCATGCAAATTATCAATATATTCTTTATTTTAATTTTTTTAACATTTATAAAAATTTAAAATAGTAAAAATCTGATATCACAATTAATTCATTTTACTTCAACCTAATATTACCAAGTGTCAAGTTATTATTAGATATTTTTAAAAATTTTACTTTTTTTCTCCACTTCTCACACTTTCATTTATCATCTCATTCTTCTTTCTCTTTTTATTTTATTATTTTATATTTCTTACCTAATTATTTTATATTTTTTAATTATTTTAATATAATGTTTAATTATAGTATATGATTATCATATTAAATATTTATTGTTGTATGAATATATACATTGTTGACATTTAATTTTCTCTTTATGATAAATTTAATTAATTTTATTTATTTATTATTATTAAAAAAATTAATTTATTTTTAAATTTTAATAAAATTGAGAATTTATTTTATAAAATTGAATAATACTTAATAGTTATATACACAGTTAACTTTTCATCTAATACATCACTATCAAAACAATATTTATTCTATTTTAATTAAGATTTTTTATTATTTGAAATAAAAAATTCTTATATTTAAATGTCAAAATTCATCTTCTTTTTTTCACAGATCACTATAGAAAAATATTATTTTATTTTAATTAACAATTATTTTTATTTGAGACGTAAAATTTTTATTTTTAAATATTAAATATTTTTTTACGTGTCACTATAGAAAAATATCTATTTTATTTTAATTAATAATTATTTTTATTTGAGGTATAAAATTCTCATTTTCATATGTCAACATTTCTTTTATTTTCACGAGTCACTATCAACAAAATATCTATTTAATTTATTTTAATTAACAATTACCTTTATTTAAGATACAAAATTCTTATTTTTAAATATCAAAAAAAAATTTCTCACGAGCCATTATAAATAGAATATTTATTTAATTTTAATTAATAATTATCTTTATTTGAGATATAAAATTTTTATTTTCAAATATTAAATTTTTTATTTTTTTCATTTCTCTATTTTACGAGATTTCTTTTATTCTTTTATTCTTTTATAATTATTTAACACAATTGAGTTTATATTATAACGATTCATTTTACAATTAAAAAACTCAATTCAAAATATTATATATATATATATATATATATATATATATATATATATATATATATATATATATATATATATATATATATATATATATATATATATATATATATATATATATATATATATATATATATATATATATATATATATATAAGCGCACAGTTCATGAATATGCGATAAGTGAATCACAACGGTAAATTTATTGGAAATATTTGATTTTAATTTTAATTTTAAAAAAAAGTATTATAATTGAGTAATTGTGATGTGTTGATATTGTAAAAAAATTTATATAACAATTAAATTCTTTTCAATTGAATTTAATTGAAATACATTAACAGTGTAAGTCACTTAATCACAATTGTTACTTTGCTGAAAATACTTGATTTTTATTTTAATTTTTCTAAAATATTATAATTGAGTGGTTGTGATGTGTTATAGTGTAAAAAAAATTATACCGACTGTACATAATCAATTAAATTCTTTTCAATTGATTTTAATTGAAATACATGAACGGGTTAAAGAAGTTTTACACCGTCAATGAATTACGATCGTTAATTTATTAGAAATATTTGACTTTTATTTTAATTTTAAAAAAAAATTATAATTGAGGGATTGTAATGTACCCATAACATAAAAAAATTCACATTATTAATAATACATATCAATAAACTCTTTTCATTTTCATCCTTTTCAAATTCGCAAGTGTCGTCCCGTCCAAAAATAAATAAATCGTAATCGTAAGTGTTGTATTAATAGAGTTGAAAATTGCCAAAAGACGTTAAACTCATAGCATGCACAACTTCAATTTGGTTGGACCATTGAAAATTCTCTAAATCCATAAAATAAAATAGACAAATACTTTGAATATAAACTTTTCATAAATAAAAACTTATTCAAATTTACATAAAAAACAAACTTTATATATGTCGCCGAAAGCATGTTAACAAAAAAAAAATTGAAAATTTGTGGTTGGTAGTTTAATTTGATATATTCTTCAAAATATCTAATAACAAAATTTGTTTTCACATATTGAGAGCTTCTAAGCATGCATAGTAACAGTCCAAACCGAAAAGCCAACGGTTGTTTCTTTTAGGTCAATGAAATTCACAACCAATCATTTCCTAATCATTTTATCATAAAATATAAAATATTTCGAATATGTAACCTTTTCACAATACTATATAATAACAAAATAAAATAAAATATATAATCTATGTGCCTTAGTCAGAGCTTTGATTCTGTCATCATATTAACACATTTATGAAGCCGGCAGAGCAATTTCCAACCTTGTATACAACATAGTATTTTCTCTTTGCTTCCTTCACTGTTTTTTTCTTCTTACAACAAACGTGTTGGCTTATTCATCATGTCTACTTCATAATCATGTCTCTTTCTTTGATTATTATAGCTTCAAGTCAAAGAATCAAATCCTAGTATCATTAATTCTTGTACTTGTTTCTTTTTTTTGTGTGATTGTTGTTGACCAATGGCGGGGAATTTCAGATTCATGATGGATCAGAACAATATCGTGAGGTTCTTGACTACAAGTATTGATAGTTTTATTCAAGATAGGTTGATCAACAAAGAGCAGAGAACTCAGCATAAAGATCAGTGTGCTGAGAGATTAGCAGCTGAAGATGAAAATGGTGAGAAAGAAAGTGAGGTTGAGTATTCTGATCAAGCGGTATTGGCGAACCTCGATTGGGGAATTGAAGCTCTTGAAGAAGCTATTAATACTTATAATATGGAGACTAAGCTTGCTAGATTGGATTATGCTGAAAAAATGTTGCAAGTGTGTGCAATGTTGAATCCTAAGCAGAAGACTGCTGGAGTGCCGAATTCGTATTTATCAGCTTGGGCGCATTTGAATTTATCGTATTTGTGGAAGTTGAGGAACAATATTAAGAGTTGTATTTTTCATTCTCTTGAGATGTTCGTTGTTGATCCATTTTTCTCTAGGATTGATTTCGCGCCTGAGTTATGGAAAAGCCTGTTTCTTCCGCATATGAGTTCGATTGTAGGCTGGTATTCGGAGGAGAGACACAGGCTTATGATGGAGGTGATGCCTGAAACTACTGATTTTTCTTATACAGGTGATTTTGATCGAGTTTTCAACGAGTCTTTGGTGTTTTCTATGAGGCCGAATCAACTTGAGAAATTGCAGAAACTTGAGCAGCTTTATGGAGAGTCTTTAGATGAGAACACGAGGTTGTATGCAAAATATTATAATGACTGTATGAACCCTGATTCTACCTCAAGCAAGAAGGTTGTTCCTATGTTGCCAATTGCTGAGCCGCCAATGACTCCTTTGCATGAGTTGAGTCGGTCGGTTCCTGATTTTGTTAAATTTGGTCCTATTTTGCCCAAGAGTTCTGGATTTTCTATGACAACCAGAAGATCTTATGATGGTTTAAGTGAAACAACCAGGTTAGAGTTATGCACTCGAGTTATGAATTCTTCGAATCTGTGAGTTTGAACGAATCCGAGACATGGCTATACGATAAAACCCGTATCTTTGCAATTTATTAACATGTATTTTATTTCATTTGAACGTTTTGATTTTTATATGTGCTTTTTGGATGTTGAATTTCAACAGAGAGAATTTAACTTCCAATTCCAACCATTCAAAAGGTGAGAAATCATCCATGTGGGGTGCTAAGGTAATAGAGACTTATCTGTATAGCTTTTGATTAATGGATTTAGAGTAGCATATTCATATAGGACTTATGAATTATGATAAATTGCATTATGCAGGAGAGCATAATTGAAGAGATTGAAGATGATTCAGATTCTGAGCATTATGATGCATCTGTAGATTCTGATAAAAACAATATTTTCTCACCTGAACCGAAGACAAGTATCAAGGACGACGATGTTGAACGAAAAGTATATCGATCAAACCAGAAGAATCAAATGCAATCTCCTAATATCTCCCCTATGCAATCCCCAAGAGCTGCTCCAAATTATTCATCTTCAAATGCTCAAATCCATAGTAAAAAAGAATCCAAGTTTTTGCGGTTACTGTCTAATCGTTTTAGGGGATCAACTATTTCTGATCACTCTCTATCATCATCTCCAGACATAAGCTCGGATCATATTTTCAACCGCGATGAAGAAGAATTGGTATGTTTGTTAAGATCAACATAATCCCATCATTTATGATTGTTAGGTGTAGTTACTACTTTATAAGTTCAAATATGTAACAGTTATTTGGAATATAGGTCTTGAAAAATATTAAGAGAAGGAATGATAGTCAAACACCAAGCATTAATCAAGACAATGAGAACAGTCTGGTGTTGAATGACAGGTAACTACCACTTTTTCATTTATGATATATTCTAGGATGTTTTTCTATGTCCTTAATGTTCAACTTTTGTTACCCTTTTGGATTTTCAGTTCCCTTGGTGAAAGTGATGATGGATATCAAAGTTCTGCGTCATTTCCGAAATTAGAGAAACTGACTATTGGATCAAAGCCACCCAAAGATTTTGTTTGTCCAATCACAGGTCAGATATTTAGTGATCCTGTCACACTTGAAACAGGCCAGACCTATGAAAGAAAAGCGATTCAAGAGTGGCTTGGAACAGGAAACACGACATGCCCCATCACGCGGCAGCCTCTATCTGCAAACATCTTACCGAAAACAAACTATGTTTTGAAGAGATTGATTGTATCATGGAAAGAGCAGAATCCTGAACTAGCTCAAGAATTTTCAACGTCTAACACACCAAGAGGTTCTTCATGTTCTCCCTCAGCAAAAGACATTGCAATGATCTCCACTACACAAAGAACGACTGATTCACCAAGTCAGAAGAACAAAGAAGATTATATTAGACAAAGAAACAACAGATTTATGCAGGTTGCCGTCAGTGCATCTCCGACCAGTGTGTTATCTCAAGCTGCAGTTGAAACAATTATAAATTCCTTGACTCCGTATATCACAAGTCTATGTACATCAGAAAACTTGCAGGAATGTGAAGAAGCTATAACGGAAATAGCAAGATTGTGGAAGGATTCAAAGACTGATCCTCAGATTCATTCTTATTTATCAAAGCCAACTGTCGTAAGCGGTTTAGTAGAAATTCTCTCAGCTTCTCTGAATAGAGAAGTTCTGAGAAGATCAATTTATATTCTCTCAGAGCTGATTTTCGCAGATGAAAGTGTTGGAGAAACACTTAATAGTGTAGATTCTGATTTCGATTGCTTAGCTACTCTACTTAAGAATGGTTTGGCTGAGGCTGCACTTCTTATTTACCAACTTAGGCCAGTTTTTGCTCAGCTTTCGGAACATGAACTTATACCATCTCTTATCCAAGTGATCCAGAACAAAAATGAGGATATAGATGATTTTCAGTTAGCTATAGACCCTAGAGCTGCCTCCATAGCAATTCTTGAGCAAATTTTAATGGGCGGGGACGAATATAACAGGTCTGTTAATGCTTCAAGTGTTATCTCAGCAAATGGAATTCCTGCCATAGTAAAGTATTTGGACAGAATGGAAGGAAGAAGGTCTATCATTTCCATACTTTTGTGTTGTATGCAAGCTGAAAAAAGTTGCAAGAGCTCAATAGCAAATAGAATTGAATTGTCACCTGTTCTTGAATTATTTCACGCTGGAAATGATAGCGTGAGAGGAATCTGTGTGGAATTTCTTTCAGAACTGGTTCGATTAAATAGGTAACTTACAGTTAGCAAAATTTCTCTCACCATTCAATTATTTGCTCAAATGAAACATTCAATATTTTGGCATGATGTTACAGAAGGACGTTCAGCAATCAGATATTACAGATAGTCAAGGATGAAGGAGCATTCAGTACAATGCATACATTTCTTGTATATCTTCAAATGGCTCCAATGGAACATCAAATTGCTGTTGCTAGTCTTCTTCTTCAGCTTGATCTTTTGGTTAGTTTTGTTAGATAAATTTCTCGTTATTAAAATGTAACTAATGCTCTCTTGTTGCCTCAATATATTTTTGCTCTTGTCAAAATCTTCAGGTTGAGCCGCGAAAGATGAGCATTTACAGGGAAGAAGCTGTAGAGACACTGATAGAAGCACTTTGGCAAAAGGACTTCTCAAATAATCAAATGAAGGCTTTAGATGCTTTACTATTTCTTATTGGACATGTCACTTCCTCAGGAAAGTCGTATACTGAAGCTTGGTTGTTGAAGATTGCCGGATTTGATCAACCTTACAATGTTTTAATGAAGGCCGATCAATTAGGACACAGTGACAAAGATTTGATGGAAACAATGGTTCGAGAATATGGCATTTTGATTTTAGGATCTGGTTAATAATTGATTTTCTCATGATACTAATGCAAATTTTTCTTACATAGGAGAATGAAAAAAACGCCATGAAATCTTGGCAGAAAAGAGTAGCTTCTGTACTTTGCAATCACGAAAACGGTTCAATATTTCAAGCCTTGGAAGAATGCCTAAAGAGTAACTCCTTAAAGATGGCAAAATCTTGCCTTGTTCTTGCCACATGGCTCACACACATGCTCTTTACTCTACCTGATACTGGTGTAAGAGATATTGCTCGAAAATCCCTGCTCGAGGCCCTTATAAATGTCATCCAGTCATCCAAGAACCTAGAGGAAAAGATCCTGGCTACCCTAGCTTTGAAGTCTTTCATTAGTGATCCAAGTAGGTTTTTTTTATACTAAACAAGTAAACATTATCTGTGTTTTATCATACAAAGGAGTACACTACACTAAATAAAAACTGCAATGTTTCAGCTGCTCATGAAGCACTTAGAGTCTATGCTAAAAGCATCTATAGAATCTTGAGGAAGCTGAAGAAGTATTCAACAGTGGCAGCTGATATTTTGAAAGCTTTACTAAATTTAAATTCTGTTGATGTGGTGAGTAGATTGATGATTTAGGATATAGTTCATTTCACATAATATACATGTTAAGAAAAGTAACTATTTTAGTACTCTATTCTATAGACAGAGTTGTGGAGTTGTAAAGAAGTAGTCGAGTTAGATTTGAGCTCAAATGGAGAGGTGCTTTCTTTGCTTTACCTCAATGGCCAAGTCTTAAGTGGACATGCTGATGGAACTATCAAGGTAGAGTATCCTAATAATCAGAAACAATGCGGTTGTGTGTGTGTGTGGCAGATTTTTTAACAGTTAGACTTCCACTTAGGTATGGGATGCAAGGAAGAGAATACCGCGAGTAACTCAAGAAACTCGTGAGCACAAAAAAGCGGTTACATCTCTTTGTTCTTCAGTTGATAGGCTATACAGTTCTTCCTTGGACAAAACAATCAGGGTAATTTTGCATACCAATTAATGCTGCTAATATTCGAGTTGATGCCTGACTCTTATCTTTGACATGTTTACATCTTTCATCAGTTCCGTTGAGACCTGCTGACCAACAGTTACGGTTAAGTTACTATGTAGCTACAATCTCTGTAGATTATAACAACAAAAAAAACACTACTTTCCATAAGCGAGGAATAAAGGCTACTTTCACATAATAAATGGTTGATGAATTTTACTGGAATAAACAAATAGAAATGGCTATATATGACTAACCATTAACATAGAAAATGTTGTGCATTCTTATTGTTTACCATGTACTCTATAATAATAGTAATTGAAGGCAATAGAAGAAAGTGAACAATAGTACTTGATACCTTAACTTTCCTTCAAAGTTAACTTCCCAAATTACCTGCATGTTTTTGTTGATCCTCTAACTCAATCATAATACTTGATATGCACCATTGAATGTTACTTCTTATGTTCAGGTTTGGACAATTAAACCCGACGGGATTAAATGTATAGATGTTTATGACGTTAAGGAAGCAGTGTATGAGCTAGCAGCTAATGCTAAATTGGCATGCTATGTAACTCAAGGAACAGGAGTTAAGGCAAGTCTAATATGCTTCCGAACTATTCATAAAGCAATCTATTTCCATCTTAAGATAAAACTGATAAAATTTTGATATTTACAGGTTTTTAACTGGTCAGATCCTCCAAAGCTCATCAACTTCAACAAATATGTGAAATGCCTTGCTGTTGCTGGGGACAAATTGTATTGTGGTTGCTCTGGTTACAGCATACAGGTAAGCACTTCTTTCCATTATCAAAATATACAACTCTGACCAAACATATAAAAGCTTTTCTGGAAATCTTCGTTAAGAATTATGGGCTGAATAATGGCAGGAGGTTAACTTGTCCAAATATACATCAACTTCATTCTTCACTGGTACAAGAAAATTGTTGGGAAAACAAACTATACACTCCCTTCAAATTCATGATGATTTCCTCTTTGCTTGTGGTTCTTCTGTTGATACAACCGCGGGAAAGGTATATATGACAGTTCTTGTTCTGTTTCAACATAAAGCATATTTTCTCGCATAACTAACTTTTTCTTCATTTGATGCAAGATATTTTCACTTACCTCCAAAATGGTGGTGGGATCACTATCAACTGGACTCGACATCCATCGTGTAGCCATCAACAGTGACTTCATATTTGCTGGTACAAAATTTGGCACCATTGAGGTTTGGTTAAAAGATAAGTTCACTCGGGTAGCTTCCATCAAAATGGCTGGTGGTCACACAAAAATTACATCATTAGTGTCAGATGCTGACGGCATGATGCTTTTTGTTGGTTCCTCTGACGGAAAGATCCAGGTTAGGCCCTTATCATATTAGAAGTCACGATAAAACAAACTAACCAGCTTCTTTTCCATCTTTCTAGTAACTTAATTTCCTCACGGATTCTTGACGCAGGTTTGGGCTTTGGATTAAGCACAACATATGGACAAGTATAATATCCCTTTTGCCACATGTAAATGAATTGATAATGAGTTTTAGCTATTTGAGTTCCTTACATATTTTATAGGATTTCATTAGTCACAGTATTGTTCATTAAATTACATTGTCCAAATAAGATCTTCTAAGTAGAAGGTATATATAATATAGCATATCTGGGGTACAACACCACTATCAACATCGATCGTGTACAAGCATATCATAGTTGTTAATTTAACTACAAAGTGAAAGAAACAGTTGAAAGAATTAATCCACATATAGCATTGCCTAATGTGACAAAAATGTGAAAATATTATTTAATTTTAATGTAATTGTCGATTAAATCAATCAATTAAACCAATTAGTTTGGCATCTGTTTGTATTGGAATCCCATTGTCGCAAATTGAGGTTATTTTTCCAACATGAAACTTTCTTCTTTCTTCAAACTAGACTTCCAGTAGCATACAAACAGGCTATTAACTATAACAAAAGGAATAATAATGTGACAATTATTTTGAAGGAAATAATGAGTGAAATTTATCCTAAAATAAATAAGATCAATATAAATTGAAAGTTGAAAAAAACAAAGTAACTGCACATAATTGGGTGTGAGCACTCACTCTTGAGGCAGTGAACCGTCACTTTTATCTTGAATGAAGGTTTTACATCATAAATCAAAATAATATCCTAGAAAGAAGAGAGCCCGGCAACCTTTCTAAACTTCTCATAGGAAACCCAGAACACAAATTGCCATGGACCAAGCCTCGCCCAAGTGGGGAAGAATCCTTTCCAGAGTGCTCTTATTCCTTCAACTTGAACTGTCTTTACCAAGCAATCATAGGAGCTCCTATATAAGACTTTCCCTTCCTCTTTAGCGGCCTGATTCATCATTCTAGTCTTGACAACGTCTGCGGGACAACTTAAAGAAGTTGCGGCTAGACCTGACATGATAGAAGCTAATGTGTGGGCATAAACATTATCCTCTGCTATCCTGTGTGTAATAACAAATTGCTTAGCATGATCATAACAGGCTAATTCCCCCATGTTCACTAAGAAGGCTCTTTGGATATTAGGTAAAACACCCCTCCACAGCCCTGGAAGCCCTTCAGCTTGAACGATTTTGTTAAAAGCATCAAATGGTCCTGAATAGCGAGGCTGAAGACCTCTGCTCATCATTTGACTATCAGCTTGCATCCTCACCTTGACAAGATCAGCTGGGCTTGCAATAACCTGAGCCATACTACCAGAGATTCCACCAACAACAGCCTTCCCAATAATAGAGGGTGACCCATGGTCAGCAGAAACAACACTCCTCAGATGCTCATACCCAACAATTCTAATAGGTGTGTAGAATAGGTGTCTTAAAATTGCCGGAGACAAGCCCTTATAAAGGCCAAGAAAACCTTGTTCACAAATAATGTCTAAGCCTATTCGAAATGCACCGGTTGGACAAGTTGAGGAAAGTGGCTCACCATGGAGTTGGAGCCTGGTCTTGATCAAGTCTATGGGGAAAGTAGTTAACTCGGCCGCCATGGCCGACAACGACGTTAGTAATATCTTGGTGTGAGTATTTTCAACTCCACCCTGTTGATAGCCTGATTTCATGGATACATACAAGAAAGATTCAATCCGCCAAGTCAAGGAAACCGCTGTTGAGATTCCACAAGTTTTATAAAGCAAAATTAATGTTGAGCATATAAAATAATTATTTAGAAGGTGAATCCAAATCTGAATAGCATGCGAAGAATCAAAATAAGGGTTTTATCTAAATTTAATTACAAATTATGGGTTCCACGATTAGATTCAAAATTACCTCGCACATTCGAAGGTAGAGTTCAAGTTACGCATACGCGGTCTGTTGTGTCGTCGTCCACGACAACAATCACTGGCAATTACATGGAGGGATCGGGAAGCAGGAAAAAGAGGAGCGATACTTTATACTAGTTTTTTTTTAATTTAAAAAATTGTTAATTTATAAGTAACAACAAGTAAAAGAAAATTTAAATAAATGCGTTAACAGTTTGTACTCATTTATTTGTGGACTAATAGTTTGTACCCATAGGACGCAAGGTGGTGAAGAATGGCTATCGTAGAGGGGTCTGGGATTTCATGGGTGATGTCAAAGAAGAAAAATGGAAAGGTATGAGTTACAAGGAAGATGAGGAAGATTTTAAGTGGGCAGAAAAAGGTTACGTAATGTGGATGAAGTAACATTGTTACAACAAAAAATTATGGATGTGACGATTTTATCTCTTGAGATTATACTGTTGGGGGACGTAAAGTTTTCATTAAAGTTTATGAGGAGGAAGATTTCGAGTCTTTGGTTAAAGATGCTAAGGAATTCTTCCAGCATTGGGTTGTTAGAATTGATAACTGATACTCAGAGGCAGTGATGAACGATAGAGAAACTTGGGTAAGAGTTTATAGAGTCCATGCTTGGAATCAGAAGTTTTTCCAAAATATTTGTCTTTATCTATGGACAACAATACAGAGAGAAGAAGGAGATTGGATGTTGCTACATGTTTAATGAGAACAACATCAATGGAAACCATAAATAAAATTGTTCAACTTAAGATTAATGATCTTGTGTTTCTTGAAATTTATTAGTTAGCTGGCAGTTATGTATTTGTTTTATTTAATTAGTGATAGATATTAACTTAGTTTTTCGAATTTTTTTTTTGAATAATCAGGTATTAAAAAAAAAATCGCAAATAATTATGTTTCAAAAAAAATTACGTAAATAATCATGTTTCAGATGACTCTCCAAAGGAGGAGTCATCTCACTTGACGCCTACGCCTATTATTTAAGGGGAGGCGCCATCTCACTTGGCGCCTAGGTGCTTAGGGCTTGCCCTAAGCCAAGTGAGATGGCGCCTAAGTGCATTTCTAGGGCAATTTTCGCATTTTTTTTCTCAATCCGGTGCGTTGCGTATTCGATACAGGACCAATAAAATTGACTTTTTATTTAAAAAAATGATTACACCCATAAGTATTACATAAAAAAAACAGATAAAAAAACAGATAAATCAGTGGTCCCCCAGAACCCGGTAATGACCCCCGGTTCCGCATCCCTGTCCTCGTCTTTCCCATGCTGAGTGTCGTCGTGTTTCCTGCTGTGGCAGGGTCGATGGCCCAGCGAAGTCAATGCGTTCCTGTTTACCGTGGTTATTGGTAAACAACCGTTGATCCTCCAAATGGTTACTTATTTGGTTACTCGCAGGATCGATCAGATTGATCCTAAGACATAGGTTGATTTTGAAATTGGATAATGGTTAAATGACAATAAAATAAAGAGGCTTTAAGTAAATTGCATGAAGAAATAGGCTTGGTAAAATAAATGAAGGCTTGAAGTAAAGGACTTCGACAGGGAAAGTAAAGAAGAAAGCAAGTAAAGTTTCTGGAAAAGTAAATGACTTTGATTAATAAAAGTGGTGTTTCACACATACATTCTCAACAATTCTTTCTCACACGCTGGGTACTCGAATCTATATGAGTGACTTTGTATATAATTGTGAACACACGCGAGAAACTGCGTGAACTACTACTATTTATACTAAAACATCCCAAGTAACCGTCGGGCAGTTACACTGCTTCGAGATGATCCCACTTGGCACGTTCTCAACGTTCGACACTCCAGATCCTTGCACGTTGCACTTGGTAACCGCTGGAAACCGTTTTCCCTCCAAACGCTTGAATTTCAAACCGTTCCACTCTGAACCATCGAACATCTTCGTCGAGAAGCATCTTCGACGAGAAACGCCTTCGACGTCGAAGGCAACCAACTTCTCCCTTGGAAGAAATCTTCTGAGTACATTGTCATCTTTCGATGGGCATTTCGACGGACCTAGCTGGTCGAAAATATTCTTCAGCTTTAATGGCTGACATTAATAAAACAAGGGTGTCGAATTTAGGAGCCAACAAATTGCCCCCCAAGAATGCCTTATTTCGACTCTGAAAGAAAAAGGCATTCTTTGAAATGCCATTTGACACCTGTCGTTTCATTCTTAGTCACAAATTAAATTGTGCACTTTTTGTTGTCTTCTACCAACTACTGACAATCCCAAGGAAAAGCCATCATTCATCCGTACCTAAGACGTCACTTTAGTACGGCGTGCAGTGTGCCAAACGTCATTTCACAAATTGTCATCATGACAATTCCCAAAAACAAGGGTGCACGCTGCACCCTTCCATTTCTGCAGAACGGCTACAACAACAGGGAGACGCCACGTGTCCCACTACCTTCTGCAACATTAAATGGCATTTAATGTCCTCGAATTTGGGGATTTCCCCCACTACTATAAATAGCGATAAGTACCCATTGTGGGACTTTTTACGCTACCTTGCTTTCAGAATTCCTCATTTGCATACAAACTCTTGTCAACTTTGCAAACCTCTTTTTCTTCACTTCGTCTTCAACCTCGTTACCAACAATGGCATCTGGTTCTTCCAACGCTCCTAGCGCCAACACTCCCTCTGGAAATGTCAAACCTAGGGTTTTCTCCACCGCTCCAGTAGTAACTCCCACGGGCCAACGAAGGGTCCCTGAGCCTTTGGACATTGCTGTTTGTGACGCTTATTCACGCCACCTCATGATTCCGGTTGGATATTCCAACCAAATCTTTGCTATGTTTGGCCCATTGTACCCAAGCATTGCTGAGGCCATGAAGATCAAAAGTTACTTTCCGGTACTTGAGAGACTCAAACCGGTTGGATGCTCCAAGAAAGATGCAGAGGATAATGAAGATCCTGCTAAAGAGAAAATCGACCTCCGTTTCTTCAACAAAGGTGTTAGGGCTTTCAGGTCTGGCCCTAGCCTTACCCCTGATTATAGTGCTTGGCTAGAAAAAATGGAGAAACGCCAGGCTTCGATCTGGAAAGACATGGGGATATTCGACCTGGTTATGCTGTCGAAGACAGGTCTTAACTATTCCCTAGAGATGTTGATAGCTTCTTTAATCTTCTGGGACTACACCCATTTCACCTTCCATCTTCCCTGTGGAATGCTGACTCCCACGCTCTTCGACGTGGCCGCCATCACTGGCCTTCGACCCACTGGGGACTACTTCGACCCGGAGGAAATGTGGAGGATCAGATTGGATTCTCTGCCACAAAACCAACCTACACCACCTTCATCAATCACTACCACGATAGGTCGACAGATGCTGTGTCGGATGTCGAACATATTGCGTTTCTAGCCTTATGGCTGACACGCTTTGTGTTTTGCTCCAAGTCCTTACAGGTGACCAAGAAGATGGTCACTCTCGCCACTCAACTCCACCATGGCCAAAATATCTGTTTGGCAGAATTGATTTTGGCTAGTCTGTACGAGTCGATTAGCAACGGAGCGACTCTTCTGAAGATCATCGAGAACAGAGCCAGTCTGCTGCTTGCTGGACCTTTTTGGCTGCTTCAGTTGTGGCTCAATGCCACCTTCGAGTCTTTCTTGCCTAAGAAGATTCAAATAAATGAGCAGGCTCCAGAAATAGCAAACAGACGCGTCGAAGGAACCAGATTGGCTCTGTTGACTCCAATGGAAGATGGGCTGGAGCTTCAACAAACTTTCACAAACTTCGTTTTGATGTTTGCTAAAAGGAAAGAGTTTGCTTCGACCATGGCTCCGTTTGCTCGACGGAAGGTTGGCCCAGAGTGGTTCACAAGGCCACATCCTAGGACGTCGAGTGGTCCTCAGGTTGACGAACATACAACAGTGTGGGAGGTATTTCTCACACCAAGAATAATGCCCCTGCGATTCAGGAGCTCTAAGACTCACTTGAGTCTGATCGCATATCAACCAAACCTGGTGTCTCGCCAGTTTGGTATTATTCAAACACTACCTTCTCCAATTTTTCCCAGGGAGAAGTCTATGTTATACTTCTGCAACGACTACACTGAAGAAGCTGCCACTAAGCATATCGGCAGATATGCTGGTCGAACAGTTCTTTCGTTGTTTGACTACCAGCTTAACTTTCTCTGCTCACCATCCTTCGAGGAGTGGTGGAAAAGTTACTACGCTGAGGAGTTTTTCGACGAGAAGGACTTCGTGGATGAGCTTCAGAAATCTTTTGTCCTTGTCTTGGAAAAAATAAAGAAATGTAAGTTCATCCTTCCAAATCACTTTGTCTTTCTCTCTCGACTGCTAGCCTGTTAATTATTTTATCTACTTTCAGTTGTTCGAAAGCCTGCAGCCAAGAAGGCTGCAGAAGGCCAACAGGGAGGAGGCCCCTTAACAAAACCTCCACCACCGGCGAAGACTATAGCGCCGGCGAAGACCACAACAAACCAACAGGGGGAAGCCCCTTCGAAAAAGCCTTCTGCATCGGTAACCAGACTTTCATTATTTTCTTCTGGCTTTAATTTTTGACTTTCGATGCAACTGCTAAATCGAACTCCAATTGGTTTTTTAGGCACCTTCGCCCAAGAAACGGCCAGCACTGACGGTCGAATCCGGGAGTGATGAAGAAGATGATTCTCCCCCTGCTCCTCTAAAAAGGCGAAAGCTGAAGAAGGACGTTCCTCTTCCTGAGGCTCGAACAATTAGAATAAAGGTTGCTGGGAGAAAACCCAGGCCACCTCCAGTAATCATTGAGGAGCCAACGGAGGAAGAA